GAGGAAGTCTGTCTTCCAGTGGAGTGCTGATGCCACAGGGATGTCTGAACAGATAGCTAGAAGTAAATTATTTTTGAATTACTGCAATGTGCTGTGAAGAGTTGGGGCAGACCAGTAAGTATAAGCTCTAGAACTAGAGTTTTTTTAAATGGGGGGAAAAAAGGGATTATGCTTGGCTAATAGGGTCACAATTATGCTTGCCTACTTATTTAGTACAGCGCTTACTAGAAAAGTTAACACAGGATGTACAGAATTTTCCAGTCTTCTCTAGGTACAACATGAGCACTGGGTTTAATGGAGGCTAATCTATTTTAAAGTTGTAAATTTATTTATACAAGAATCATTATGTACTTTGCAGGATTTGAGCAATCACTTCAAATGAGAGTAAAGCAAGAATATTTGTCATCTATTTATTTCTGGATTCCAGATGTGAACTTGGCTCAAAAAAAACAAAACAAAAACAGACCACCCCAAACTCATAACTGGTGTGCTTGTAATACTCTTATTCCGTGAGTATTCTACATGTGAATTAACTCTAAAAATTATTTGTTATGCCAAAGCTAATTCAGGAGTGTCTCTTCTTGTAAAAGAGTTGATTTTTTGGTTGAAATCAGTCAGATGGTTTAAGTGAAAGAATTCAGCTTGGCAACTTACTGAAATTGGACCAGTATCTGTTACTATCAGGTAAGAGGATAAAGTAACTGTACTTGATCTAGAGTTCAATTTGACTGATTCTGGGATGCACACCGTCAAAATTGAGCTGGCCCTTGTAACCATGTAGCTGATACGAGCCCTGGGCTACTGGGGAGCATCCATTCTTTCTTGCTGGCATTACCAGTTAGTGGTGTTACTGAGGAGCAGATCTGGCTAAAAATGAGGTTTTTACTTAGGTCACCATCTGTCTTCATAAGTTGCAGTGCTGGCCCACAAAGGCCGTTTCACTGCTGGACAGGCATCTGTTGTTAAAATAACCGAGCTGTGCTATTTACCATTGAGTTTACTGGAAACTGTTCCTAGTGACTGCTTTTACCTCCCAACAGGCAGAACTACTGTATGTCATTGTTTGAGACTTTCTTTAATCTACAGTTAGTGTGTAAGTACCATATAAAATCCTTTGTGACATGTTACTACTTGGCATTAGCATGGAATGTAGTCAGATCAGTATTAGAAAAACTTACGAAAACTAGCAGTATATTTTTTTTTAAATTTGAAGGTATGGGCTTTGGCTGCTCCTTCCTTTGTTAGGAAATCTTAATGTTATGTACTAATGAGACTGACGTATTTGTTCTTGCAACACATAAATAACCATTAGAAGAAGGCTGTCCTAAGGCTGGTTGTATTGCCAGAGCCTCTTGAGCTGTATCTTTTATTGATGGAGATTGTATTTTGAATATCAGCCTGATTGATTCATGGTATAACATGGAAAAGAATAAAATGTTCTTGGTTTGTCGTAACATATATGTTGATGTATTGTGCAGAGCAATATACTAATAACATATAGAATAAGTTACCTAGGGTAACATACAGAATAACTTAAAGTCTAATTAGGGTTACAAATGGATAAAAAAACCCCCTAACACACTATCCATTCAGATACTCTGCATAACTTACTGTACTTGTTCTTGAATAAGGACTATTTTCTATGACTTAGTATTGAAATAGCGTGTAAGTAGCAAAGGATGGAGATCACTTTTGCCCTCTTTTTTAATAGGAACATGTTAGATTGAATTTCCACTGGCAGTCTCAGCTGAGGCACACATTTCCCTTTCAGAGACAGAATATTTGTAAAATTCTTGCCTTTCCTTCAGTGATAACCTGATTCACTGACGGCCCTGCTGTATCCTGGTTTTCCCTTCCTTCCCTCCCACTAATTTGGAGGGAGTCATTGCTAACAAATGCAGTTTGCTCTTCCTTCGGAGGTGACCCTTAGCAGGTGTGGTGGAGGGCTGCCACCTGAGCTTGTCCCATGGTGCATACCTAGATCAGACCATTACAGAAAAGGAGGGATATGTGCTGTTTCCTACAGTGTGCAAGAAAGCACCACATGTGGATTTAATGCTGTATACAGATGGTTAAATCAGATAGGGTTTTGGCTAACTGTACTGCTGCTTGTGACTGACCAGGAAAGTGTCTTTTTTTTGTGTATTCCCTCCAAATAATCACCTTCAGGAGCTAAGGAGCTCCTTCAAAGAACCTTCAAAGAGAGCACACCCATGTCACTGCATTTAGGAACTCTCAAAGGCCATCCCTTGTTACAGGAGAGAAAATAACACGGTGATAACACCGTCTGCCCTTTGCCACAAAATTGAAGATTCTGAGCTTTTTATGAAAACTGCTTTTCATGATTGCTAAAATGACCTAATAATGCTAAAAAAAACAATGCTTCCTTAAATCCATGGGTGGCTTCAGATGATGACTGGAAAACAGAGCGTTGGTGGTTTCATTGCAAAGGGTTCTTTCACAGATACCAAGCTAGCATGCGTGTGGTGGTAAAATGAACCTTTTGCTGTATGCCTCAAATGGAGATACCAGCAGAACCAGAGAAATTCACCTGATGAACCTACAGCAAATTTTTCCTAACATTGAGAAGCTTTGCCATTAGTGCCTTTCTCCATTTATCCACCACTCTAACTTCTGTACTAGTCACTTGAACTTTTTCTTTTCCTCCAGAAATACAATTTCAGACCTTGAAAATAGATTAATAGCCCTCTACCTTACCTCCTATGTTGTTTTCGTTTTGTTCGTTTGATTGGTTTTGTTTTGGGGGGGATTTGGTTTGGGGTTGTTTTTGTAGGATCCCCTCACCTGGTGGTATTGAAATACCTGAGAGGTGGGGGCACAGAAATGTGGTTCATAGTGGGAGCGCAGAAGCATCTGAAGTTGGCACTGCCTTTGAGCAGGTTGCCTGGACTACTGTTTCCCAACACTGTGGTGTTGGTACAGCAGTAAGCAGACCTGCTGGCGTACACCTGTAGAAAACCTGTTCTTCTGGTTGTGCTGATGCGCCTCAATAACAGTGCCTTATTGTGCATAATGGGATATGGCAAGGGCTATTGCTTTTCTCATTGCAGAACTTTCCTGGCTAGCCACATGCTAATGGAAATAATGCATACATTAAGTATCGGATCCTCATACTGCATTTCATATTCAGTCCAGAGGCTACACAAATTCCCTCATGTGTTTGATGGGTTTTGCCAGTGCTTTTGCTGCAATGTAAGACATGTCATATGATGGATATTTTTTCTCCTCTTCCCCTATCACCTTAATTTACAGATACAGGAACTGACTGATTCAAAGAGTTTCTCAATTCACAGACCGGGAAACGTACTCGCAGTCAGCCATCTATATGGTTTCTATTTTGTAAACCACCCTAACTCTCGGTCTTTTTTTATGGACTAAAAGAAAACTGCACATTTGATATATTCCACAGAGGCTGCTTCTGCAACAGTATTGGTGATGCTAAAGGAATAAGTTATAAAAGAATTAAACCTAAATTCATTAAACAGTCTACAGATTAATTCTGCAGCATGAGTGGAGAGGACAAATTCTTTTCAATACTCTTAAGATTCATATTATTAGGCTTACAGTAGCTAGCATTTCCACCTAAAACTTCTTACGTTGCTAGTCAGGAACATAGCAAGTCCAGAGTCTCCATTTCATTACTTTTACTGAAGGAAGCACATGTATGTCTTCCAACTGTATAAACGTGAACTGCATTTTCCTAACAGCTGGAGAACAAAAAAAACCAGTCATTATGCAGGAAGCCCAAGACTTTGTAAGAGGTTGCTCCACCCTGATTTTAATACTGTAGTCTATATCAAGATTTGCAAGTTCTGTAGGAATGGATTTATAGAGCAGAACCATTGGGGATGCAGATGCATCCTCCGTGTACAGGGAGTTGCTGTAGGCAAGACCAAGAAGCACTTGGTCTGCAAACGCTTCTCTTAGAAGTTAAAGCAAATCTTACAGTTTAGTTTTGCAAAGCAGAGTCCAGCTCATGTGCATTATAAGTAAAGGTATTTGAGATACACTATGGGACGCTGAACTAGATTTAAAACTTTTATCTAGATGCTGTCTGCACCAGGAGGTGTGATCTGCATTCAGATTCCTTAAAGCTTCATTTAAAATCTATTTATTAGAGCTAACACTATGAAGAAACAGAGAATAGTATAGACAATCAGAAATTCCTGTAGATGCTGGGAACCTCAAGTTGTGCAGCACTGAATGGATTTCCAATCCACATGCAGCAACAGACCTCATCTGTAGGCAAGGTTACCTCATTTTGATAATACAAGCTGTTGTAGGATTTTTCTTTCAAGACAATAACGCTATTCATCATTCCTGCTGTCAAAGAAAGAGAATGTTTGCTGTTAGATACAGGCAATGCCATGCAGATGGTATAATTACTGGTACCCAGGGGGAACTCCTGTGGGGATTCTCTCTTTTGGTGAGCTTACTGGGTTTATCCTGTGATCAGGGAATTTGCAGTGCAGCACAGCACAGGCCTGTAAGCCAGGCTGTATGTGCAGCACAGGCCAGGGATCACTCAGGTTGACTGTTACATGGGTCACTAATGCTTTGATGTACAATAGTCTTTTGGTCAGGAGTGCCAGAATGCATTCAGAACTGGAACTGGTCAAACGTTACCCTCTCTTCTCTATCTTATGAACTGTCTCATAAACAAGGTCATCATATTTATGGGGTTTTGAGGTTTTGGTTGGTTGGTTGGTTGTGTTTTTTTTGGGGGGGGGGGTGGTTTTTGTTGGTTTGTGTTTTTTTGGTTTGTGTTTTTTTGTGTTGTAATCACAGAGCTAGAATTAGCTTGAGTATCTTCTTTTTGATATCTGATGTATAGGAAAAAACTTTGCTGTTCAAAGATCTTGGGCATACTGTTTTTTCTGTAGAGCATACAGAGTAATGAAATCTTGAGGATTGGTATGTAACCGTTACAGATGAGACAGATGCTGTTGATCTGCTCACTTGTTTTGTTTTCCTTGCAGAATCAAGGCAATTGAAAGTCCCAACAAAGATGATGACACACAGTGGCTGACTTACTGGGTTGTATATGGTGTTTTCAGCGTAGTGGAATTCTTTTCCGATATCTTTCTGTTCTGGTTCCCTTTCTACTACATGATAAAGGTATGTTAGTTCGTGTGACCCCTCTTCTAAAATGAGACCGTTGGCATAACTAATTTAATGTCTTCAAGAGTGGATAGACGACAGGAGACTCCCTTGGAACCATTCCTGGGTAAGACCATATTTTAAGATGCTGGTTATATGTAATTTATCACTAAGAAAGTGATCTGTTTACAACTGATGTTGTAAGGCAAGAGGGAAAGTTGGGATGGGTGGCAGGGAAAGATCTGCTATGTTTAAAAGGAAAGAAAGGGTGGTATGTGACCTAGAAAATTTATATAAACATCTGTTTTGGTACACTTCAGAAGTAGTAAGTGAGAATAAATCTGTAACTGTAAAAGTTTTTTTTCTTGACTAAGCAGCACAACCAAAATGACAATTTCCCTTTTCTTAGGCAAGGAAGGGGAAATTTCAATTTTTCTCAGTTTCAGAGGAAGTTGGGTTTATGGCTGAGGGATTTCCCAAAACAAAGGAGAACTAAGAAACATCTTTTCTATATTGGGGCAACTTGAATAACTATCAGTAATTGGCCAGGTATTCTTTAACAGGAAATAAAATGTTTCTCAGTTATTAATGAAAGATACCAGCATCAGGTAGTCCCATTTATTTGTTCCATAATATTAAGTTCCAGATAATGGAAGGTTTTGAAAATTGATATCCCATCACTTTTTGCCTTTATTTTCTCAGACCTTCCTTAATGATACCGCCTCAGTTGCTACTTAGAAGTGCCAAATTTTACTGCATGCTGAATGATCTCTCTTAGTTCATTGAAATGTTCCTGGTACGCATTCTCACTGATGGATGCTTTGAAAAACATTTCTTTGTCCTCTTTAAGTCTTTCAGTTCCGACACTATGATCAGACAGTTGAAGAATCTTAAGGCTTGCCTAAAACGATAGTAAATTGGCATAGTAAAATCTTTTGTAGAAGGTGGTTGTTAACCCCAGGAATCAGCGATCCTTTTCAGAGTGACAGCCGGTCAGGATGTATCTCCAGTTGCAGATAATACCATAACTGATTTTCTGTAGGCCAAGGGAAATGATAAATGGCCTTAAAAAGGAATAGCAATCTCCTCAAAAAACAGTAGGTATTTTCTTCAACTAATGTGCATGAAAGGGATCAGTTTTACTGTGGTGTGCATTGCAGTGAAGACAAAGCCAAAGTTTTACAGGTATGCCGATCAGTACCTACAGAACATTCAATCTCAATATCACTTATCTGAGGAAAAATAGAACAGAGATGATTCCAAAATATCCGGAAGGTTTGCCTGAAGGAGACTGCAGTTTTCATAACTGAAAAGGGATTTTATTCTATCTTACTTTCCCCCCTTTCTTTTTGTTAAATCAGAACCTTTCTTTTAAAATAACCTCTCTTGACTTAAATCACCTTGTAGTGGTTCAATAGTCATTTAGGAGTTTCTTGTGTAATATCAAAACAAATATTTGGATGTGGTTTTATCTTTGTAGTTTTACAATGGGCAATTAAAAGTACGAGGGGAAGAAGAGAAGACAAATGTCTGATTAGGCACAGTGAAAATCTGAAAGCATACTGTAATGGAACTGGTTTCTAGGAAATGCTTCTGCATGATGCAGTGTACTGGAAACCTCATAAATAAATAAGACTCTGCTTATATTTTTTTTAATGACTTTCAGAAAGTCTAGCACTTGTATTGAAACATCTCTTCAGCTGCTGTAGATATCCTTTGAAAGCTGAAAAACTCCTGAAATACAAGATTTAAATAAGTGCTACTGTATTTAAATTAAGACTTTAAAGTTGATTATAGTTTTATTATAGTTTAAATTATTAGTTTGGGTTTTGCTACCTAAATTAACTAATTGTGTGGTGGTTCTGGTTTTTGTTGTCTTTGCAAGGGGGCTTTTTTGTTTTGTTTTTTCAGGAGGAGGATTTGAGTTGTTGTTTTCTCCCTCTTTCCCTCTCCTCCCAGAAGTGTGTGGAAATCCTCAAACATTTAATCATGTCTAACATCAAAACAAAGCACGTTTTGGCTGAGGCCGGGATAGTTTTCTGTTTTGAGAAAAGGTGGTCTGTGAAAAGCTGTTCTGCCTTTTCTGGAGAGGCTTTTAACATGAAATAATATTGTACTATTTGTGTCTGTAAAGAACTGCACAATTGCTGAGAAAAAATCATTAATTTTGTTGTCACTTTATCTTGTAAAGTGTCTCTGTATATGCTTTCAGAGCTTGAGCATGGTTAGTTATGGCACTTCCTGTCCTTTAAATGTTTTGATCATCTTTTCATAATCATCTTTGTACTGTGTATGATAGTGGAACTGAAACCAAATAAAAGTGCTTCAGTAGTAAAGACAGATATTTGTAATACATGTAATAGCTGTCTTTCCAATCCCCTTTGTAAGATGCAGAAATACTACCCCACAGACTGTGCTATTCATTGCCACCACCTCCTTCCCCCCCCCCCCCCCCCCAATAAGATGGTGCTGTAAAAGGTATACCTAAACTGTGCAATCTAAAAGCATTACACCTGTCTATGTGCCATCTGTAGCATGGATATATCTTTCTCCATTGTCACTTTAGCTCTGGGACGCGCACAGTTGCATTCTTTCCACCACTGCATTTTCAAAGCAGGGAGGCAGAGAGGAGATATTGTTTTGGCTGGACTTTAGTGATTTTGGGACCTAGACCTTCAGTCAGGTATGTGCCACATAGTTTAGAAGTAGTTAGAGGGTCTGATGTTTTGTCTGATTAGGTTTTCATAGAATCACAGAATAGTTAGGGTTGGAAAGGACCTTAAGATCATCCAGTTCCACCCCCCCTGCCATGGGCAGGGACAACTCACACTAAACCATGCCACCCAAGGCTCTGTCCAACCTGGCCTTGAGCACTGCCAGGGATGGAGCATTCACAACTTCCCTGGCCAACCCATTCCAGTGCCTCACCACCCTTACAGTAAAGAACTTCTTCCTTATATCCAATCTAAACTTCCCCTGTTTAAGTTTGAACCCATTAACCCTTGTCCTATCACTACAGTCCCTAATGAAGAGTCCCTCCCCAGCATCCCTATAGGCCCCCTTCAGATACTGGAAGGGTGCTATGTGGTCTCCACGCAGCCTTTTCTTCTCCAGGCTGAACAGCCCCAACTTTCTCAGCCTGTCTTCATACAGGAGGTGCTCCAGTCCCCTGATCATCCTCATGGCCCTCCTCTGGACTTGTTCCAACAGTTCCATGTCCTTTTTATGTTGAGGACACCAGAACTGCACACAATACTCCAAGTGAGGTCTTGTGAGAGCAGAGTAGCGGGACAGGATCACCTCCTTCGACCTGCTGGTCACGCTCCTTTTGATGCAGCCCAGAATACAGTTGTCTTTCTGTGCTGCGAGCGCACACTGAAGCCGGCTCATGTTCATTTTCTCATCAGCCAACACCCCCAAGTCCTTCTCTGCAGGGCTGCTCTGAATCTCTTCTCTGCCCAACCTGTAGCTGTGCCTGGGATTGCTCTGACCCAGGTGTAGGACCTTGCACTTGTTAAACTTCATGAGGTTGGCATCAGCCCACCTCACAAGTGTGTCAAGGTCCCTCTGGATGGCATTCCTTCCCTTCCAGCGTATCAACCAAACCACACAGCTTGGTGTCATCGGCAGACTTGCTGAGGGCACACTTAATCCCACTGTCCATGTCAGCGACAAAGATGTTGAACAAGACCAGTCCCAACACCGATCCCTGTGGGACACCACTTGTTACTGGTCTCCAGCTGGACATTGAGCTGTTGAGCGGCCATCCAGCCAGTTCTTTATCCACTAAGTGGTCCATCTATCAAACTGATGTCTCTAAATCTCTGTATCTTTTGTGCTTCTACGTTTCACAAAAAAAAACCACAAATGCACTATAGAAGAGAAGGCCTCGTAGCAGCCTTCTAGTATCTGAAGGGGGCTTATAGGGTTGCTGGGGAGGGACTCTTCATTAGGGACTGTAGTGATAGGACAAGGGGTTACAGGTTCAAACTTAAACAGGGGAAGTTTAGGTTGGATATATGGAAGAAGTTCTTTACTGTGAGGGTGGTGAGTCACTGGAATGGGTTGCCCAAGAAGTTGTGAATGCTCCATCCCTGGCAGTGTTCAAGGCTGGGTTGGACAGCCTTGGGTAACATGGTTTAGTGCTAGGTGTCCCTGCCCATGGCAGTGGGGTTGGAACTAGATGATCTTAAGGTCCTTTCCAACCCTAACTGTTCTATGATTCTATGACTGATAACATGAGTTACCAGATTAGCTTTACTGCTACAGCCCTCTGCCTTTATCCTGTTAGTACTCATGAAATTATTCCAATATAAAGATTCACTGAATGTAACTATACCGATGTGCATACTTACTGTACTGTGACCATAAAAAATTAAGGGGATGATGTGCTGTTGTAAATATGCTCAAGTCTGTGGCAGGGAGGCACGCTACACCTTGTCTCCTACTCATTTCTTCTACTTAGGCAGATGTTCTTCCTTGTAGTGTGGCTTCCTGTTGTGGTGCATGGCTCCAAGTGCTTCCAACGGGGCAGAGTTTCTCTATCATCGAATTATCCGGCCTTTCTTCCTGAAGCATGAAGCTCAGCTTGACAGTGTTGTTAAAGACCTGAAGGACAAGGCTGCAGAGACTGCAGATACCATCACTAAGGAAGGTGAGGAAAAGATCATTCACTAATCACATCAAATAGGAGGAATTTCCCAGGGCAACTCTAATATTAGAATTAGGGGGAAAAACGTAAGAAGATGATATAAATTATAATGGAGAAGTTAAATTTGGATGAAGATACTAGGAAAAGAGGATTGTGGTGGGTCTTTATAGGAGTTCAGTATGCTAGAATGAATGCAAGATCTGTGAGTGGAGAGCATGGCTAATTAGTTTGTGTGTGTTCCCACCATACATATCACTATTAACATTCTCTACAGTGGTAGGTCCAAACATCCTTAGAAGATACCTTCCACAAATACGGTTACTGCTTAAGTTATTGTCGCCTCATTAAGTTACTGTCTTCTATACTATCAGGTATTTGGAAGATCTTTGGAAGTATAGAAGAGCTGCCAGTTGTGTAGTAAAGCAAATCCTTTAACTCCAATAAACAGCAGCATGGGAAATGAAGTTTTTCCCATCTGTAAGTTTTTGTACTTCTTCTTCCTCTGGAGATCAAAGGATTCTGAGCCCACTCTTAAAGAAATTACTTAGGATTTTATTTGGTAAGAGTAAGTAACCCTGTAGGTTGCTTAAGCTTTGCTTTTATTTCCTTGCACTCTATAGTGGACCCTCATACTCAAAAATGTCTGATGACAGTTGTATGAGTAAGAGAGGGAAGTGTATTAAGTAACTAAAACAAAGACTTATTTAAATTTAATTTGAAAGGAAATTTGTAAGGTATTTCAAAGCACTTTTAAGTCTCTGTTCTCCCAAACAATGCATGAAGTCTCATTTCCTCTTACCAACTTAAGCAGTTTTCCTGTCAGTGCTTAAGTGATCTTCGTTTTTCAGCTATGCTTGGAAATTTTGCTGCATGACCTTCCTGAATCATTGTTAGACACGTATCTTAAGTAACAATCTTCCATGTTGTACATGGGATTTTTCTGTCCTCATTCCATCCCATTCTTTTTTCTACTTTCTACATATAAAGATTTGCACATACATATATTTTTTTAAGACATGCACATAGGTATACATGTACATACACATAGATTAGCATTATTCCAGCCCTATTTCATCATCTTGGTAGTACAGTTGCTGTAAACCTGTATGTCCTAAACCTTATGAGAAGCGCTGTGTGACTGACAACTGTTACATCAACAATTCTGTGCTGTTCATTGTTCTATCCTTGCTTATGGTTTATTTTTTTAAATCTTAATATAGTTTTATCACTGTATGTGTATACAAAAGCTGTGATTTTCTGTGATGTTTCATTTATGACTTAAAAGGGTATCTTTTTTTTTTTTTTTTTTTAATGTAGCTCCAGAACACTGAATAAACCACTTAGTCTATTGGCTTCTAAGATTAAACTTGCTTTTACTTTCCTGCAGCCAAGAAAGCAACAGTGAACTTACTGGGTGAAGAAAAGAAGAGCACTTAAGCTATTAACTGGATAAAGCTTCCCTACCACCTCTTTTATGAAGCTTGATGTTACTTGGAACCGTGGTATACATCTTAATAATATTGCCTTGGAAACTTTTGATATATTAAAGGAGTATGTTCTAAGTTTGCTTACCACTTTTCTGTGTCTGACAGAAAGTAAGCGTTTTTATTTAACAGCAATGCAGCGGGCAGCATCTGAAGCTTAATGAACATCGTTTACTCATCTTCATGAAGAAGAAATCTTTCAGTAATCTCTCTGCTTTAACATAAATAAAAAGTATATATCCCACAGGCTCTGCACTTTGGTTGTCTCTTTGTGTGTAATTACTCATCATGCTTCAACTGTTGTGCATCTGGTAACATGAAGCTACTGTATAAGGAAAATACTAGTCTGAATGGGTCTTCTTGAATATACAGAGAATTATGATGAGAGATGGCATAATGGATGTATTCCCCTCCACCAAAGTTGTAAATGATGAAATTACATGTTCTAGGCACCTGATGACAGAAATTACTCACTATTGCATGTTTTGTTGTAACACAGTATTTGGTAAAGTGTGTGTATTCCTAAATGGATAGATACTAAATACAGGGAAGAATAACTTCATTCAAGTGATCAAGGTTATATTAGTGTGAAATAATTTGCCAGAAAGAGATGTATTAAATTGCACAGGATAGCACAAGATGACTTAAGTACACCTCTCATACTACTAAACATTTCTTCCACTTATTAATGGGGATAAACATTTCTAGGTAAGTGTTAAAACATTTTCTTACGTCTCTTCTTAGAATTTAAAAGTTAGGCTTAAAATCAAATTCTTGTCTCTACAACTTGTCTCTACATTCTTGACCTAAGCAGCTAACTCCAGTATTTCTTTGTCAGATTCCTACTTGCAGTAGAACACTGTTAATAGAACGTGATCTTGTTTGCCTTGATGCAAGTAGAAATTACTGAGTTTCTGAAGCAGAAATGTTACTCTTTCCTGCAAGTAACTCCGCTGGGTTGGTCCCATCAATCTGTGCTCTTCTCACTGTCATCGTAACAATATTTATGTGCAGATGTTGGTACGCACGTATACTCCCATGTGTCTGCTGAAGTTGTAATGTGTTAAATAAAAACATACAAATAAAAAAGAGATTCTTACATGAGTAGTGCGATGTCTCAGTAGTAAGATCTTAAGACTCTTACACTTCAACAAGGACAGCCTACTTTAAGGCAGGTCTCTACAGGATACTTGCTCCCACCCCTTCCAACCCCCCCCCTCCCCCCCCCCCCCGGGTTACTTACTGTGGAGCTCTCAAAGCCTGAAGGAAGGATTTCTGCTTCATGACTAGATCTTGGGGAGCAACTAAGCTGTTTTACAGCTTCAGGCCTTAACCAAAGAGTTTGGAATGCAGATCTGTTCCCAACAGCAAGCACCATGAGCAGCTGCAAGCTTGATGGCTTTGCTTACTTAAGGCATCATTAAGATTTAGTGTTTAGAAACAGAGGAAAAACGGTAAACTATGGGGATTCCAAAGTTTTTCTCTGGCCTGTTGATTTTCTAGTGTTCCATAAATGACCTAAACAAATAATGCTGTTGTTATTGGCAGGAAAGGGGGTTAGTTCTTTCTGCTGCCACTATAAACTGGACATTTCTTCTGCTTTATCCTATGTATGTCCAAACTCAGCAAAAAGGAAAGAAAGTTCAGAAAAACATTAAAAAAAAAAAAACCCACGATAACATCACCACAAGTGACACAAATTGAATTCTTAAAACCAAAGCAAGATAGTTAACAACAGAAATTATTTAAAGTAGTGGAAGATGGGATTAATATTTTTCATGTCAAACTCTCAAAACTTGTTTTCATCTGACAAATTTAAGAAGGTGTCTTGAGTTTGCATTCCAGTCTTGTCAACTCCATTTAACTAGTCTGAGAACCAACACAAAAATACTCAACTAATTTCTTACCTTCCACCCCCATTTCAGACTCAACAATTTCTTATGCAAACGAGGAAGAACAGAGTTTTAAAGAAATGGAATGACAAATTCTTGTAAGTCATGACAGACTGTTAGTATTTCCTATAAACTGCATTATCTGGCAACCATGCAAATAAACTCTCAGTCTTGTCTTTCCAGAAAACTGCTCCATCCAGTGTGATGGAATGAAAAGTGCTTGAAGAATAACAGCCACTAAGGAAGACCTTTGAAAAAGTTCCTTAGATGAGTATATGAACTGGTCAAGTAAAATATAACTGAAGATGCAGTTCTTTCAATTCAGCATCGTTTGGAAGGCCATGTATCTACCACCTTTGCCAAGGCTATGGAATTCCATGCCACTTTATATGCCTACCATTTTGTATTGCTTCATTCTTGCAGGATGAATACATCTTAAAGCCTTTAATTAGACATGTCTAAACTCATAGAATCACAGAATGGTTTGTGTTGGAAAGGACTTTAAAAAGGTCATCCAGTTCCAACCCCCTACCATGGGCAGGGACACCTTCCACTAGACCAGGTTGCCCAAGGCCTGTCCAACCTGACCTTGAACACTGCCAGGGCTGGAGCATTTACCACTTCTTTGGGCAACCTGTTCCAGTGCCTCACCACCCTCACAGTTAAGAAGTTCTTCCTTGTAACTAATATAACTTCCTATAACTAACCTGAACTTCCCCTGTTTAAGTTTGAACCCATTACTCCTTGTCCTGTCGCTACAGTCCCTGATGAAGAGTCCCTCTTTGGCATAGAGATACTGGAAGACTACTATGAAGTTTCCACACAGCTTCTCCAGGCTGAACAGCCCCAACTTTCTCAGACTGTCTTTGTATGGGAGATGTTCCAGTCCCCTGATCATCCTTTTTTGCTATCTGGGAAAAACAAACAACAACATAAAAAACACAGCCCCCCAAAAAACCCAGATCTTCATACAGAGAAAAAAGGCACACATAATGTTTCATAAGAAACAGCACTACAGTGCAGGCAACTTGTTCCTACCTGGAGTGTCCTCTGCTCTTTTCCAGGTCCCTTTCTACCAATGACGGTCACCCTTCTCCCACCTCTCTTACACCAGGCGTTATAGTATAGTCAATCCTCCCATCTTTAGCTCTTACCAGATCTAATCTGTACCTTATCTCCAGTTGCATGTGTGCTGACTGATCACCCAAGACATTAAATACAGATTGGTCAGAGCAAACTGCCAACCAGGAAGGATGAATACTCATTCTCCTCATCTTTTTTTTTTTGTCCCTACAACGATGCAGCAGGCTTAAAAGTTCTAAAGCAATACAAGAAGAGAGTATTTGCATTGTCCTTTTTCTTTAGGGGAAAAAAATCCCCCCCAAACACTCTCTGAAAAGCCAGGTTATTTTATCCTAAGAGGTGAATTAACCCCATAAAAGCCAGTCTGTTACAGGAAGAAGCTAAATAACTGGTATCCAGTGACAAGACACGTGGGAATGGTTCAAAGCTGCACCAGGAGAGGCTCAGACTTGACATTAGTAAACACATCTTTACCATGAGAGTAGTCAAGCACTAAAACAGGCTTCTTATCCTAGAGAGGCAGTCAATGCCCCAAGCGTGTCAGTTGGACAATGCCCTTAACAACATGCTTTGACTTTTGGTCAGCCCTGAAGCAGTCAGGCAATTGGACTAGATGATCATTGTAGATCCCTTCCAAATGAAATAGTCCACTCTTCCAACAAAGCCACCTCTGCAGCTAGAAACAGCAGGAAACAAGGGAGCCACACCATCTTTTATGCTTTCAAGTATATGAACACCAGATGTATATGCTGCTCCAAAAGGGAGTTTTGGCTAGAAGGCTCTAACTTGTAAGCACACACAAGGAACAAGATGCACACCAGGCAAGCTTTTTAAGAACAGCCATTTTCTGCAGAGCTGGTCTGTGAGAAATTTACTTTATGGCTGAATGTAGAGAACTACATACGTCTGTACATTATTGTCCCTTCCATGTTAAAACACATTTCAATATATTTGAAATCAGAACTGAATAATGATTACTGTGCTTCTGTTACAGCAGCTATATGCCCTGACACATCTGACAACAGTTCTGAAACTTCCGTTTTACTAATTCCTTCGTTAATTGCCTGTACCTTCAGATCTGCTTAATGGGCAATGTCCCCATACAATGCTGACACAGAAACTGATGAGGATTGTTACAAACATTCTTAGCTCACACGTCCATTTCAAATGTGAAATCTTTGCCTAGGTATCCACAAAACAGTATAGGAAAACAACAAGTATATATTTTTAAACAGCTAGTCAATTCTGTAAGGACACTAGATCAATATCCACATTACTCGTGCCTTTGATAGAGAGTAATCCCAATCAGCGATGCACGTCTTTGTTAATACTGCCATCTACAGGAAACTACAGACACTGCTCCCTTAGTAACTAGGAAAGTTACTAAACTGCTTAAGATTCTCAGAGAACTGTAAAAGCAAGACAGGTGACATAAAAAGATGTCCATTATCACCCTGTTTTCCCTCAAAATGATTTTTTTATTGATAGCATTGAGACTGATAGCTGCAGTATTTCTGTATTTTTACAGCAGCCTCATCTCCACTCAGAGTCCTGCAATGTTCTCTATCTTCCCTGTTCCCACGAAGTGAAGCAAAGAAGGGGAGATGGGAAGGGTGCTTAGGAAGGGGGAAGACCGTCAGAAGAACCTTACTGTCTTGACCCACTTTTCTTAAAGGAAAAAACGAACTCAGTTTAAGGAACTCAGTTTATTAAAAAACAGGAAATACAGAAATAGAAGCTTAACCTTGGCAGGAAACGAGGAGTTGCATTTAACTTCATGATGCCTCATTTAAGAGCAAACACTGCTCACATACTGTACTTACACTAAAACTACAGAGAACTCATTCAGAGATGGGGGATTAAGCAAGCAGGTGTTGCGGGAACCAGATTTCAGCCCTCTAAGGGCAGTAATCATCTGATTGCCCAGCACTGCACAATTTGCTCTTAAAAAAAAAAAATAAAATCAGCTTTAACCAAAATACCTGAAGAGCTTTGTTTATTTGATTAAATCACAGTTTCATAGATTTGAGCTCAATATTACTCTTTCCAGAGATCTTTCTCAGTCTTCTTTGTAATACCCTTACACTTTAAAACAGCTTTACTATTTTGATTTCCTTGGGAAATTTTGGTAAGCAATGCCACCAAGATTCTTTCTCAACATTCATAACATAGCACAGACGAGTTCGCAAGATATTTAATTTCTGAACAGTGTAAACAGATATCCTATGGGATTTAACCTCCACATTTTTCATCTGTCCATAGTCTCAAG